GTTCCAATATTTAGGTTCATCTACTGCATCATTGTCTTCTAATAAAAAGATATCACAGTACAATATTAGACTTCTAGAAAAACAAAAGTTACGTTTTTATTATGGACTTACAGAACGTCAACTACTTAAGTATGTAACTATCGCCAGAAATGCTAAAGGCCCAACAGGCCAAGTACGTTGCCGTGGCGGGGTCCACTTGTTTTTTTTAACAAAAAGACTTCGCTCCTGTTCTATTCTGGGGGGCATCGGTCCTGTTGCTTGTCAGCGGCAAACACAAATGTAGCGGAGAGAGAAGATAAGAAGAGGGGGTCAGCCTGAGCTGTTGCGCATTCTTTCTTCCAATTTTTTTTTTTAGGCCTTATTTCTCGAGTATCTGAGAACTGCTGTTAGCATGCTCTCCATCTACTGCAATCCTCACCTCTCTAAATTGAAGCAAACGATTTGCGTCAACCATAGTAGAACGGTGAGACAACAAATGGACGTCCAACCCGACGAAGCTCAAGCATGTGTGCTTCCAGTTTTCTTATTAGATTCAAAAAAATGCATGAAACAATAACTGTGAGGGCCTTGTTTCTCCCGGAGCAATGACTATACTAGGTGCTCAGAAATGAAATTTCCCATCGCGAACTGCCAGAAACCGACACTGCCTCACGGAATAGGGTGTGCAGGTCCGCTTGGGAAGGTCGTGGTGCTTTGAGGGGCTTTTAAAATTTACAAAACAATTGAAAACATCAAACAGGCCACTGAAACAAAGTGACCGATTGGGATAAATCCAACATGTAAGTGAGCAATCGGAGGGCCCTTTATCAGGACCTGGTTATACTACCAAAAGCCAAGAGTACAGCCAGTCTGCCGATAGAGTATAAAGAGAATACCCCAACGTAACTGTTATCTCAAAGGAGAATCAGCAACAGATGATTTCCGAAAGAGACAAGACGCACCAAGTCCACGGAAAAAAAGGGAAGAAAAAAAAAAGAACGACGCCGAAAAGTCTGCAAAGAGTACTCCGTTGTCGCCAATTTCTACAACCTCTGTGAGCACATTCTCTCAAAATCTCTGAGCAGAGTTCATTAGAAAAGACAACGATCGATTCACAATCCAATGAAGCATGCATAGGACGAAATAGGGGTGGGCTTAAAAGACCTGCACCCTTTCAAGGAAAAGCACTTATAGCTGGAGTACTCATCTTTGTGCAAGAATAGACGTTTGATCCATTCACAATCCAATGAAGCATGCATAGGATGAAATAGGTGTGTGCGTAATGGACCTGCTGCACCCTTTCAAGGAAAGGGTGCTCGTAGCTGGGGCATTCATCTTTGTGCAAGAATTGAGGTTTGACTGAATGGCAATTACATTTGGCCACCGGGCTTACAAGACTTGCTTTGCACTTTGTGGCTGGGACACTCACCTTGTTCTTCGAACGAGAATTCAGATCTTCCTGGTTCGCAATTGCATTTGCCCGCTGTCGCACTGCTTCCAATTTCTTCTGAATCTGCTTGGTCATAACCACACCCGTCACAGCACAGCACAGTTTCCAATCGAAAGAGTCGTAACATGAGAGAAGGAAGTTCACAAAGCCAACTGTAAGCAAGGCTACACATACTCAACAACAGAATGCGTGTGCATACAGCTACACTGCACAACCCCCTGCAACAGGAACAGAATTCACGATACCATTATCCCACACCATATTGATTGTTAATGTCTCAGCAGGTTCTGATAAACTATCTTACTTAGAAGTGCATGTGAAGAGAGAGAGAGAGAGAGAGAGAGAGAGAGAGAGAGAGAGAGAGAGAGAGAGAGAGAGAGAGGGAGGGAAGGAGGGAGGGAGGAGAAGGATGGTGGAGGAAGATGAGGAGGAAGAGGAGGTGCACGGCGTGGGTGTAGCTGTGGCAGGTTCACATGTTCTTTTTAAAAATCCATTGCGTCAGCTCTCAGAAGAACAAACAACCACTGAAATAGACACGGTATGTTGTACTCCCAGCCATGTGCATACATAAACTTAGGAAAACAAATGAGAAGGATGAGATTCATGGGCAGTAATTCCATACCCGGCGTCGCTTCCGTGCCTTTGCCTCTGCCACTTTCTTCACGGGCCTTGCATCAATAGCTTTGTTCTCAGCTCTTGCAGCTTCGACTTCTTCTTTGGTCACCACTGGCAAAGGCTTCATGTGTTTTCGCTCCTGCACAATACCATCGCACAAAATCCATGTCACCCAAAAGTTGATGCTCGGTGGAAATGCAGTCTAGGTTGACTTGCTTGACGTTTGCGCTCGGCTGCCTTCGCTTGTCAAGAGAAAGCTCAGTGAATTCTCTGATATGTTCATTGATGATTGAACTTCATTCACAACGAAATAGTGCGAATGGACGATCTGAGGTTCTGCTTTCGCGTGCGCTTGTTTGGGTCTCGCTCCACTACTCTCAGCTCTCAAAACAATTTGAGAGCAGTATGAGAGCTGTCAGATGCTTGTAACTCTCAAAATTGCCTGCATCGCTTTTTTATTGCTCTAGAAATGTGGAGTCGAGGACTCTCGAATTTCGAAACTACACGACACCTAAACGCCACCTTTGTCCACCTCGACTCGAGGTGGACTCTCGGAACACAAGGCCGTAGCAGGGGGCAGGATGGAGCACCATGGGAAAAAAAAACTGCGAGTCACAGGCTGTGCACTCTCGACGGTTCGAGAGTTCCCTTCATTAGCGCCTCCTGACAACTCTCGAATGGGCTTTTCATGAGTGCCCTTCGAGAGTAAGTGGAGCGAGGCCGACCTCACGAACTTCCATGAGTCTAGAGTCTAGAGTAGTGGAGCGAGACCCTTTGTCTGCCAAATGGCTTCCTGGCTGGGCCTAATTTGGTTGAGGCAGGATGGAGCACCATGGGAAAAAAAAACTGAGAGTCGTAGGCTGTGCACTCTCGACGGTTCGAGAGTTCCCTTCACGAGCGCCTCCTGACAACTCTCGAAGGGGTTTTTCGTGAGTGCCCTTCGAGAGTAAGTGGAGCGAGGCCAAACTCACAAACTTCCGTGAGTCTAGAGTCTAGCGTAGTGGAGCGATACCCTTTGTCTGCCAAATGGCTTCCTGGGGCTGGGCCTAGTTTGGTTTAGTCCCACAGTTTGTTTCTTCTTTTCTTGGTTCCATTTTGCTTTGTCTGTTCTGCCTTTTGGTTTCCCTCTTTTCATTTGCAAAAAATTGCAAGTCGATTTGCTGTCACTTCTTAAAAAATGCTCAGAACTGCTTGGCCTGGGATATAGATGAAACTGACAGTTTAGATGGACTGAAAAATGCGCAGCGAAACTGACGGTTTAGACTCGTTAGAGGGATTGAAAAATGCGCAGCTCGGAGGTACAGTAACCCCCAAGGTACTCCGGATCCTCTGCGATCCACCCTTCCGAAAATTCATTTTGCTGCCTCCAGAAGTCCACTTGTTTTCCCAAGGTTTGCGTTACCTGTTTCAGATGCTACATAGTACAATCCATATTCGCAGAGCATGTGTGGTGCGCTGTGCGGTGCGGCAACAAGTGCCCAAATGGCCAAAATATCAACGCATGCTTGCAAGTGCACTCCATGCCCACACTTGGTGTGTGTGGCGCACCAGTGCACCTCTCACATACACTATGCATAACGTGCGACCCACCAAGAAGATGCCATTAACAAAAAATCCCCAAAACAAATGATGTGATGCAAAGCGTTATTTTCAATATTTTGCTGGGTGGGGTTCCGGGCCACCCGGCGGACCGGTGGGGGCCCGGGTGGGGTCCCGGGCGGCCGGCCGGGCAGTGCACCCAGTCGGTCCCCAAGCCCCCCCAGCGCACAGGGTATTTCGGGGTTTCCGACCCCATTTCGAACGCTGGTGGGCTCCCGCAGGCCTACCGGGTCCGACCGGCCCGAGAACCCGCAGCATCGGGCCCGATAGGCCTGCGGGAGTGGGTTTGAAAATTGCGGCGGGTCTGTGGCCGTCGATCCGCCTTGATCGACGGCCACAGAGCCGTCGCAAGTTTCCCGCCCAGAGTTCCTTCTTCTTCCTCCCTCCTCCTTTTTCATTCTTCTTCTTCCTTCATTCGTCAATCAATCAATCCCCCCCCCCCCCCCTTCATTCGTCAATCAATCTTCGTCCCTCCTCCTTCCTCCTCCTTCCTCCTCCTTCCTCCTTCTTCTTCTTCCTTCTTCTTCTTCATTCTTCTTCTTCCTTCTTCTTCTTCCTCCTCCATCGTCCTCCTCCTTCGTCCTCCTTCTTCTGCCTCCTCCTTCCTTCTTCCATCACATCTTGCCATCCATCCATCCCATCTCACCATCCATCCCGTCTTCCTCCTCCTTCTTCCTCCTCCTCCTTCCTCCTTCTTCCTCCTCCTCCTCCCTCCTTCCTCTTCCATCGCATCTCGCCATCCATCCCACCATCCCATCTCGCCACCCATCCCACCATCCCATCTCGCCATCCACCCCTTCTTCCTCCTCCTCCTTCCTCCTTCTTCTTCCTCCTTCCTCCTCCTCCTTCCTTCTGCTTCGTCCCCCTTCTTCCTCCTCCTCCTCCTCCTCCTTCCTCCTCCTCCTCCTTCCTCCCCCTTCTTCCTCCTCCTTCTTCCTCCCCTTTCTTCCTCCTCCTCCTTCCGTCACATCTCGCCATCCATCCCACCATCCCATCTCGCCATCCATCCCACCATCCCATCTCGCCATCCATCCCACCATCCCATCTCACCATCCATCCCACCNCCAATCTCGCCATCCATCCCACCATCCCATCTCGCCATCCATCCCACCATCCCATCTCACCATCCATCCCACCATCCCATCTCGCCATCCATCCCTTCTTCCTCCTCCTCCTTCATCCTTCTTCTTCCTCCTCCTTCCTCCTTCTTCTTCTTCCTTCTTCTTCCTCCTCCTTCCTCCTCCTCCTCCTTCCTCCATCTTCTTCCTCCTCCTTCCTCCTCCTCCTTCCTCCTTCCATCACATCTCGCCATCCATCCCTCCATCCCATCTCGCCATCCATCCCTTCTTCCTCCTCCTCCTTCATCCTTCTTCTTTCTCCTCCTTCCTCCTCCTCCTTCCTTCTTCTTCTTCCTTCTTCTTCTTCCTCCTCCTTCCTCCTCCTCCTCCTTCCTCCTTCTTCTTCTTCTTCTTTTCTTCTTCTTCTTCTTCTCCTTCTCATAATTGGAGGTGTCGGGCGAGAATTGCAGGTGCAGGTAGGAGTTTGTTGGAGCGCCATGGCTGGTGGGAGCTCAGCTATGGCTGTCTGCTCTCCCTGCTCGCCCGTGAGAGCGTGGGCCTGGCCAGCGATTAGCGCAGCATGCAGCCAGTGCCTGAATGCCAAATCTGGAGGCAGGCCCTTTCCTAAAATGAAGTGGCATGCCTGCTGCGTGCGGCAAGGCTGCACTGGGCCCCGGCGCAGAAGCTTCCCGTAGGCCCCGTGAGGCTGAGCCTCAGTCCAGACGAATCAGGCCCAGGGCCTGTGGTGGTTACCCGTGCCCAACTGCCTGCAGCCTGTGTTCGGTGCATGTTGCGTATCTGGCCCAGGGCCTGCCTCAGTTACATTTGATAAAGGCAGCCTGGGCCTGGGCGCTTTCAACCAACTGGCGCTGCGCAACTGCCTGAATTTTCCCCAGTTGCGTGGTAGTCCAAAATAGGCCTAGGTCGGGCCTGCCTTCACTTAGGGTGGCCGACCTTTGCTGATAACAGGGCCCAGTAGGGCTTACCTAGGCCTTGTGCCTCGCACTAACTACGAATGTCATGATATCATAACCAAAGCAAGAGCTAGAGAGAGGTTCAGGGAGACTGACAGCTTGTCGTCGCTTTAGAGTCCTTTCGGAGTTGGCTCCGGCCAAGGCTGTTGTATCCGCTTCTAAAACAAGTGTGACTGTGCTCCCGTAGAAGCGGAAACAACAGCCTTTGGCCGGGGCCAAGTCAAGGCCTGAGATCCTCCGGTGTTGTCCCATTTCTTCCAGTGCAGTCTGTTGTCTCTGATTGTCGGCCTTTTTTTTTTCCATTGTTTGTTTGTCTGTGCAATGTTGTTCATCCTCCAACAGAGACAAACTGAGGAGACGACCCGAACGCTTGAGCAGATCCTACGGAAGTACGGTCGCGCACGCCAGCATGACTAGGATGAGTCTGTCCTCCATAGATCAGACACAACACTGACATGCGTCCTACGGCTGGAATGTTCCCCTTCTACCTTGACCTTGGATACGACCCACACAGTTGCTTCATCCAACCCAACTCAATTCCTCCACATGTTGTCCTCCCCTCAACGAGTGGGTTCACCCTATCAACAAGCTCATCCCAGAAGGCACCGAAGCCATTCGTGTTGCTCAAACCCGCCAAGCCACTGCTGTCAATCCTCACCTTCGGGAGGTTTCTTTCCCAGTCAGAAATGGAGTGCTACAGTCCATAGAGCACCTTGAGCTAGAACTTCGTCTCAATAGGGCACTTAGTTCCGAATGGCTAGGTCCTTACGAGATCCTAGAGCAACCCCCTCCCGTGACATTCAAGCTAGAACTCCCTCCAGAATATCAGACGACCACATGTCCTGACACCCGTTGGACCTAGTTCGCCGTACAAAGCATCACAGGCCGCCACTCCATGGTGATTGTAGACCAAGCCAAAGTCATTGCCAACAGCAAGGTCAAGTGGTAAGGATAGCCAATAGAAGATGCCACGCCATAGCTAAAGATTTTGCCATAGCTAAAGATTCGGTCGTAGCCAAGGAAACTACACCAAACACAGTCCCAAGTCGCGATTGTTAGCCATAGCTAAAGATTTTGTGCTTTGTCCTCTCCAGGACTACGCCCTTGTTCTTCCTTTTCTCTTTTCCCTCTATGCTGCAAGCGTGCTGCATGATGATGCTCACCTCTACTTGGCCTAGTCCTGGCATCTTCTTCGCATCTGCTCTCTTTGACTACGAGACAACTCCGCCCTTGGCATGGATATGGTACTACGTGGGGTGGGTGGTATTATATGGCCTGCTTGATGCTACAGGGGTTGGGTGGTAGAATTGGAACAGTTCGCACCTTGCCGGGTGGGCCATACCATCTGGACTGGATGGTACAAGCACACACACTCCTACAAAACAAAAAAAAAGGAAGAAACGGACACAGCCACCAAAAAAAGCAAAAACACATGGCCAACATCAGGCACAACTCGGCCTTTGCCACCACGCGGCGGTACTATATGGGATGAGCGGTATTATGTTGCC